TGCACCTCCAGGTTGCCTTAAAAATTTTGACTTGTCTCCTGAAATTACAGGATTATTATGGCTGAAAGTTCAATAATTTCTGATCAAAAGGTAGAAGCTTTGGCAAAGAAAGGCATGGATCGGATAAAAAAGGTGTATGTTTGGGACATGGATGAGACCCTTATACTGCTCAAGTCTTTGCTGAACGGGACTTATGCACAGGCTTTCAATGGCTTAAAGGATGTGCAGAAGGGAATAGAACTTGGTAAGATGTGGGAGAAGCACATTCTTAAAATCTGTGATGATTTATTCTTCTATGAACAAGTGAGTTTCCCTTCTTTTTCTCGTTAGTTTTTCTTGATTTGCATGTTGTCCAATTATATTTGGGTTTCTAGTACAAAGCTGAATGGTTTTGTTTTAAACTTAATGATGAATATGATTAACATTTTGCCAAATTTTCAAAATGCAGATAGAGAACTACAACAAGCCTTTTCTTGATGCCATGAGTCAATATGATGATGGGCTTGATCTTTCTAATTATGATTTCAACCAAGATGGATTTAGTCCTCCTTCTGATGATGTAAACAAAAAAAAGCTAGCTTACAGACATCGGGCCATAGCCAACAAGTACAAACAGGTACTTTTAATAGATAATTATCAAGCATGAGTTAATTATTCCATTTTATTTCTGCTCCATGCAAGTAATGATGATCATACCAACCTAAGTGAAATTCTGAAAATGAAATTGGGTGCTTTGTAATTACTTTTTGTTCATTACTGCTGTATGAACCTAGATGCAAGAAGGGCTTTTAAAGGTTGTGCTGCAGAAAGTCGGCTGCTTTTGTTTGTCTTGTCAGGTGTTTGTTTGACTGCAATGCCTTTAACCCTCACTAGCAGTTTGTCATGAAATATAAATGCCGACTCTGTAGCACTATGTTATAATCATATAGTATGTTAATTCTCCGAGTTCTTCAATGCATTGTGTTATATATAAGTTCACATTGTATGTTGTGTTCTTAAGGTAATCATTGAAAGATGGAGATTTAAATTGTTACCTGTTTATTATAAGGACTTTATTTCACAAACTGTCAGAGTGTAGAGATTATATATCATAATATGGAACTCTCACGGTATTAATCTGGACCAATGTCTGAGTTTGATTGTGGGGTTATGGACGTGATACAAATATCTGAACAAATCCTCTATGTTTGGAAATTTGATCGTGGATTTAGCCAGCTTTAGTCACTTCCAGTAGCTCAATATTTTTGGGGGCATGGGATGTTCATATATGGTAGTTGAAATTTGCTGGCTTCTTTAACTTCTTTTCTGTTTCTATATGCAGTCTGCATTTTCTTCCATGTATTTCTAAGAAAAGCTATTTACTACATACCAGTTATTCTAGATTTTCATGAATTGGAAATTGGAATATGAACAGGTGAAAAAGCTCACTTCTCTCTGAAATTTCAGGGTTTGCATAATATTCTTGATCAAGAGATGATCAATCTATGGGAGGAATTATATAATTTGACTGATGAATATACAGATAGATGGCTCTCTTCAGGTATATGGATTCTCCATTTTGTGACTGCTGGCAAATGTAATCGTTTCTTTGTTGCTTTAACTGGGGGGGACTTCGTACTGGACTGTTATCTAATACTTGTTGCTGTTTTGAAATATTGTTATTTCCTGTTATTCTTTTTGAGGTCCTTTGAAGATAGTTGACATAAAAGAAAACGAAAGGAAAACTAGAACATGAGTACTAAGGAAAAGAAAATAAAGCATGTATTAATTCTATGCTGTAAAAATAACCAGAAAGAGATGTAAACCAGGATATAGTAATCTAATATCCTGATGCCAGATTGCTTAATCTTGCATTTTTAGGCTTTCAAAGTTTTCTCCAATGACTTTGGTGACAGCATAAATGATTGTCATAGCAATATCAGGACCAATTGGATGTAATCCATTAAAAAGTGCGTTGTTGATTGCACCTTTCTGGTGATTTCAAACATACTTTTATATCCTTTGATGATCCTTAAGTGGTACTCCTTGCTTTGGTGTCTGAGATGAGTTTGCTAGCAGTATTCTTATATATTAATCACACTCTTACTCATATTATCATCTGTCACAAATCTAGCGCGGGCTTTCTTGGAACAGTGTTCAGGCTGGAAGGAAGACCCTACTCATTGTCTTGCCTCTGCTGATGGGATCATCAATCACACCGATGCCAAGTTTGAGCCCATTAATGTTTTAGTGACTTCTGGATCATTGATACCCAGCCTTGTAAAATGTTTGCTTTTTCGACTTGACAATTCAATAACACATGAAAATGGTCAGTATCCCTTTTGTTTCATCTATATTTTTATTGGCTACACCACTGTTATCAATAATGCTGTGTGCTGAAATTTGTCACTGCATCTTCTTACTAAATTACCTTCTTTTATAGTGCAATGTCTTGAAAGTTGGGAAACCAGATGAACTGTGCAATTTAGATGTTACTGAGCTAGCAATTCCTGCAGTGCTTTACATGCACAAGACATTTCTATTATGGAATTTCCATTATTTTGTCTTTGAAGTCAGTTCAATTGACTTTCAGTTAAGAGATGAATTTGAAGCTCAACTGATAATAGATAAACCTGTTGAGGTTGTGATTCAATTAGATGGCGTCAACACACATTGTTATAACTTCAGCAAAACCTTGAATGAGAACCTAGGGCAAGGTATTTTGGAATTAGTGGGGAAAATTAGAATGAGATCAGATGCACTGAGTTTTTTCCTTCATGACATGTTCTTTTGGTTTGCCATTCCTAAAGAAACGCACAAAATAGATTGACCCTTTTACGGCCTTGTTTTTGTTGTCTTGAGGTACTTGCACTTCTGGTTTTTCATCTTGCAACATTTCATGATATGGTTTAAACCCTGTGTTTACACTGCACAGATGAACAACCTTCAATTCTTGTTAGGTGAGCAGATTTTTGATGGGTGCTAAAGATGCCTGATTAAGCATGTGGGAAAAGCTAACCTGCAAGAATGTGATGTAGTTTTTCCAGCTGATATATTTATATTCTAGATATATACTCAAATGAATATATTTTCATTATTATTAATTCTTTCCCATCTTCACTTAATTGCTTGAATACTTCTAGTTAATTTCCTTTCCTTCCATTACTTTATACTAGTTACGATAGCTGGCCTGAGACTAAGTGCTCTGTTGTTTCAGTCTACAGCTCATGGGAAGCGGGAAAACCTCAATGTTTTCAGTGGATCAAGGAACGATTTAACGGTCCAAATGTCCATTTTTGTGTAATTGGGGATGGATGGGAAGAGTGTGAAGGTGCACAGGCCATGCAGTGGCCATTTGTCAAGATTGGTATGCACCCAGGTGGGGATCACCGTTTTCCAGGCCTCACGTTGAGAACTCTTGGCTACTACTTTGCTGTTGTGTACGGGGATCCTGATGCTGAAAATAATGAAGATGAATCATGACGTCATTTGCAAAATGTTATCTGTCCTGTCCTGTTCTGGATATTTATTTGTGAAGTCGCAGAGGATTTCAATGTGGAATTCATGACATTTAACCATATAGACATTGAATGTCCATAAGCGTGCCTGGGGAAAACTTTTTTGGCATTCCATGTCCTTGGTTTTTATGGTTAGAAAACACATGGTTTGAATGATTCTCCAATGATAAATCCTCCAAGACGGTCTCGTCTTGTATAGATCGCATTGTATTGTGACGGCTGTTTTATTTAAATCTTGCATGTGGTTGCAAATATTTCAACAGTAGTGTTTGTACAACGAGGCGATTTACAGTGTGGAATGGTGCAGTCTTGCATTTTTAGTCTACTCACCAAAAAACAGGGTACTCTGCAAATACAGAGATGCATGCAGATCAAAATCAAATGGACAGCCTTGTGAGATAGAGATTGCTTGACAGTGCCCCATCCTTGTGGGATAGAGATTGCTCGACAGTGCCCCTTATCGAGAAAGATCGTGCAAGGACGACATTTGGGTCCCTTTAAAGAGATCAGGTGCGTGGACACATTTTGTTATTTGTATTTTCTCGTCATAGCAGTCCAGGCATCTCTAGTCTAGAATGTCAAAATATCTCGAGGACTCTGGTGTCAGGTCAGAAATAGTGGCCGAGAAGTTACGTGCTGGAAGACCATGTATGAGAACGTGGTTTAAAAAAAAAAATTAATTGTTTTTAAATTAATGTTTTATTTATTTTTTCAAAATTGTTTTGATATTCAATGTAAAAAATATTTTTTTTTAAATGAATTTTTTTTATTTTAATATATTAAAAAAAAACATTTTAATTCATCCCTGCTTTTATAATCCTATATCCCGTATCTTTCGCGCAGATCGTGTGTATCCCTCTTTCTTTGACTTTCTTTCATAGTTTCCTCTGCCTTCGTGAATAGACAGAAATGTGGCTGAAAGATGGATAGCCGAACACCATTGTGTGCTCAAAGTGCATCCTTGAGTTGCTTCTCTTAACAGCTGCATCCTTGAGTTCATTAGCTATTCAATTATTAGGAGTAAAATTTTGGAAATTATAGGGGTAATGTTGAAAAAATCTAAACCACAGGATATATTGATGAGTGTGCAAGAAAGATAGAACGTATATGTACTTTACGCTTTCATTTTATTAGTTTGGAATAAGAAAACAAAGACGAAGTTGATATATGGCTTAAGGAGAGTAAGTTCCGTAAGACCATGACCTTATCTAATCTGCTATAAGATGGGATTATCTTAAGATTTTCTTCACCGATTTCGCTCCTTAGGTCTTGTAGTAGATAACGTTGATGGAGATGAGCAGTGGAAATGCTAAACCACTGCTGGGTCTGATTTTGTGATGTGGATGAATCTCAGGCCTTGATGGCTGCCTGATGCTCCCATGGCAAAGGAGGCTTGCCTCGTCACGTGCATGCAATGTCTTACACCAAAGGTTTGAGAGATGGGTGGGGTCCAATATTTTTTCTGACAAATCTTTGATTTTGATATGCAACCAACCGAAATGGGACTTAAACACCACATCTATCCATAGCTACCAGCTAAAGGGAAATATCATAATGTTGATGATTTGAAAAAAAACATATCATAATTTACTTAAGTCTCGTAGCTCCCTGTAAACTTATGTGTGTTACTAGGATTTGAAAAAAACCACATCTTTTTTTCCAATTTCAATGGTCCTTTTCAAAGTTTAACTTAACATATTTCTCTCGCCCACTCATCTGCAAGTTGTTAAAGGTGTGTGCTTGACAAATGTTCGGGCTGGATTCTTTGTTCTTGAAGCTCTCCAAGCTTGTTTGTTTCTCTAAATGATATCCAACAAATATTCTTGTATGGTTTCCATACATAAATTTACTCAATTGGGTGTTTGTTATTTTTGTTAATCATGTAATTAATTACTTTTCTCTGACACTCTTTTACTTTGCCAATGCTAAATAGAAAACCAATTTAGATTCGCAACTTCATGGTGTTTTGTGTAAGATACTCTTAAATCTGTAATGCTGTATATTAGCACTGATATATATATTTGTTTTCATGTGCTTTACTTGTGCCCAGGCATGGCAAAAATGGGAGAAATGGCTGTGCTTTGTGCGTTTGAGACTGTGTAAACTTGTACCAAATCGAAGAAGAAAGATTAGCTCTGTGAGGTTTTGCAATGCCAGTTCCTCTTGCACCTTATCCAACAACTCCAGCCCCATATGCTCCTCCTGCTCCAGCTCCAGCTCCTCCTCCTCCTCCTCCTCCTCCTCTTCCTCCAGCCAACGGTATTTTTAGTTACTCGAACTTGTTTCAGTCTCAAAACTATCTGATTTTCCTTTTTTGTTACATTTTTCAATGAAAGAGATGACAAGAAAAATAAAAGGAATCGCCAAGAGACCTTGGAATCTTACATCTATTTTTTGATGCTCGCCTTTCATTTCTTTTAAATCTGTTAATTATGAACACAACCATCAAAGGACCCACCGCTAAAGAGTGCACAATGAACCACTTCTGCAATGAGCAAGTACTAGCTAGTGTTGTTGCTTGCTACATATTTTTTTCATGTTGATACCTGGAAAAAAACTGAGACCATTCCAAGTTCAGTTTCCAAGCTTTTTAAAATATCTGGCTTCTTGTCGAGAATCATATTGATTTGGAATTGAGAGAGGGTCCATTCCTAGACTCTATGATTTAGCATATTAGCACACATTTTCTGCTTCTATTAATTAGTTGATACCGGTAAAAGCAATCTATAATTTAATTTGATGATGATTTTCAGGTGCACAGAGCCAGCTTGTGTGTTCTGGATGTCGAAACCTGTTACTTTATCCTGTTGGAGCAACCTCTGTATGTTGTGCTGTTTGCAATGCAGTCACAGCTGTGCCACCTCCTGGTACGAGTATATCTTATATCTTCATAGATTTATTATACTAATCACAAACTCTATTTCTTAAATACAGTTTAGACTAAAGAGTACTCTTTTCTTCATAGTTTAATAAATCTTAACTTGAAAGGTGATCAGAAAAAGTCGAAGCCATTAATTTATCTTTTCCAGCATTGATGGAGTCTAAACTTCGAACCAAACACATAGAGCCCTATCCCCTCCTATCAGCCCTTGGTCCTTGCTATTATTTCATGGAAATGTTAAACAGATGTATTCACCATTGAACAAACTCCTAAAATGCAAAAACTACATATGAACTGTACGTTTATGACATCCAGAAAAATGTCCGAACATATATTTAGTAACTTCGCCTGTTCAACTATATATTAATAGGCACAGAAATGGCCCAGTTGGTTTGCGGAGGTTGCCACACCTTACTGATGTACATCCGTGGAGCAACGAGCGTGCAGTGTTCTTGTTGTCATACAGTCAATCTAGCCTTGGAGGGTAAGGAACTTAAGAACGTATTGCTTTTCAACCACTCTAGTATGTAATGTATTACCTGAAAAGGGCATTTTAGAACTGGTTTTGGTTTAGATTAAGTTGGGAGATAAACATCAAATCTATAATATGACAGCAAATCAAGTGGCACACGTCAATTGTGGGAGCTGCAGGATGCTGTTGATGTACCGATATGGAGCACGGTCTGTGAAATGTGCTGTTTGCACTTTTGTCACACCAGTTGGGGTCAGTACAGAACTCCATTATTCTTTTATGTCTTGTTAGTTTAGAAGTCCCTTAAAAGTAATAGACTCCATTCCCAGAATAGCAGTTTAAGGCTAAGTTATAGTAGATGGCATTCATAGGTGTTCCATACTACAAGCCAGGGAAAACTGGAAATTACATCTCTAGGTATAATCAGATGCACCAGATATAATAAGCTAAAGAGAAGATAATGCCATTACTTCAGTAAACAGGGGTCTGTTTTCTTCTGATGAACACATAAACTTCAAGCTCTTTCTGCCAAGTTTTTCCTTTGTTAGCCACTCTTCACCTCCTTGCAGTGAAATGCAATGGTAAGAAAAATATAAGCATACGACTAATCGCTTTGCCTTTCATTGGATGAAGCAGGTCTCATCAAGCGTTAATGAACGCAAGTTCAATACCTGAATTGTGACTCAGCTGAACTAAAGTTGACCGTTACAAACTCTACAAATATGTTTTTGCATATTACAATATCTCCCCCGACGATAGCATCTCCCGGTGAAGAAGAGGAAATCCCCTCCAGTCACATGTATAGAGTTATATTTTTCTCTCCCTTTTGCGTGGCCTACTTTATATGCAAAATAAGCTGTTTTAGCGGATTGAACTAATGTATGTGAAACAATATTATTCCATGGAAAGACTTTTAGACTGTGGCCCTGAACGCATTTGGAAATCTTGGGATAAGATGAACTTCATTTTCATTTACTTGACATATGCGACTACAAGTAGCATCAAATGCACCGGAAAGATTCATTTCAGATACTTTCTACTTTGGAATTTTCTAAAATTGTCTCAATAAAAACAATCTCTAAAAAGTTATTTGGGCCAGATTAGCTCTTGCATGTATGAAAAATTACGATAAATTCCCTGCCAGAAAAGCTTTCCTCAAACTCACCCAACTTTTCTTTTTCTCCCTTTGTTCTTGTTTTTCTTCAGCTGGGAACATCCAATCAACTTCCTTTAGTCCCTTTTGTAGATAATCGAAGAATTTCAAAGAAAAATAATGAAGATTCCAACACCGCTTAGGCAACCAAATTGTTTAGCTTTCAATAACTTCCATCAAGAATTGACTAAATTGGACAAAATTAAATCATAATCAATCATCTTGAAGTAGTCTCTGTTAATTTTGAGAGTCTAGATAAACATCCCAAATTCAATCATAAAACAATTCTGATGAAACTATTCTTAAATTTCTTTTTGACAATTCAGCCATTTTTATTGACCAACTTGGTATCGGAATAAATCTAGACGTAGCATTATATGGTTCTTCTACCAGATAGTTTGAGCATCTCTGACACCTTTATCGTGCCAGGCATTTATGAGTATTATGAACCATTGTATCCAGAGCTCAATCGCTACTCAAGATTGAGTGTCTTCCAAGTGGGGGGGGGGGGGGGGGGGGGAGTGTATAAGGGAGGC